GAAACACCTCCCACTACCCTCCCCTCCGCTCGACCTTCCATCCCTCATTGCAGGCCTTGTGCATATTAGGGCTCATAATGAGAAAATCCATGATTGTTTTTCATAATTAACGAGCAGATCAAAGTCTGAGCCCACTAAGGAGTGCAGAGCGGCAAATGGTCGATATGTGTGAGAGAGAGAGAGACAGAGAGAGAGAGAGAGAGACAGAGAGAGAGAGAGACAGAGACAGAGAGAGAGAGAGAGAGAGAGAGAGGAAGAAAAAAAGAGAATAAGAGAGATTTCGTTTTAAGCATTTTGGCTTAGCTCTTCTGATATCCACACACATGAATATGCCTAGGGAAATCATTTGCTGCTAATTCTGCAACCGGATCGCTTGGACATGGATTTCTGTTGGGCTGCGGGTGCAAAAAGATCAAATAGTACGGAAAAAAAAAAAGGAGGAGAAGAAGGACCTCCAGGGCTCTTTTCAGCTCTTGATTGTCAGAGACCCAACGTGAACAGTGAAACGGGTGTGAAGCGTTTTTCCTCAGACTGTACAACGTGACAACACAACTGTTAAATCTTCCGTGCCTTCGTTATTTCCTTCTGCTACCTGTTTATCCTCTCCTGCCTCGACAAAACATGTCAGACATGTGATTTTTCTGACATATGTGGAGCACTGTTTCGTTAAATGTCCCCGCTCCCTTCATCTCTGCTACTCTGTGTACTCCTGTGCTCATTTCCACATTGTTATTTATAGCTGGTCCCTCAGAACCTCCGAGCCTCAACATCATCATCGTCATCATCATCATCATCGCCCACATCTTGTCTGATCCCTCCTCCTCTTTTTTTTCAACTGCCAGCCGCAGGAGAAGAAAGCAGAGAAAAGAGACAAGGTGCGGGACAAAACTGCGGATGGGCCACGTCTTTTTTTGTTTCCTTTCTTCCTTGAATTAGCGAGAAGCTGCCAAAGTCTCCAGCTGTGCAGGGCTGAGGAGCTCGCTCCCAAACGGCTCAGGAGCTCCTCCGCAGCTGTCAGAGCTGCAGCTTGATGTTATAACTGAGAGGAAAAGAGTGCAGAGGGAGAGGGCAGCAGAGCTCAGTGTGCCATCCCACAGGCTGCTTCAAATGAGCTCACACTTTGAGATGATAGGAAGGATGACTGTACTGCGACACTTTTCCCCCCCTCTCTCTCCTGATTCCCGTCTATCCAGACATTTATGCAAAAAAAAAACAAACAAAAACTAAATGCAGTCAGGGTTCATCGATGCCTCCATATCAAGCTGCCATGTGATCATCTGGAAGCGAATACGGTGCAAAAATCCATTTCAATGTCACATTTTATTGCATTAAGAAGTACTGGTGACCTATAATGTGTCTGTGACGACTTTCTTTATTGTATCCTTCTACAGTTTTCACTCTTTCAGTCAGTAAAAGCTTGCTGACAACAAAGTGTTCAGTGCCACAGCAAACCCCGTTTTTTGTGTTCACTTTTACATAGATATATATAAAGAAATAACCCGTTTTAGTTCCACACAGTGTGATAAAAGGATTTCAAATGTGGGATAAGAACAGCAGATACTGCTGTGGCATTTCTTTGGTGTCTTACCTTGTTTGTTGTTGGCATCCTGGGGGTGATGGCCAGAATGGGACACTGGAGCGAAGTGTTCGTCACTGTACGTGATCAGGGGGGTGAGCGGGTGGACTGCATGAGATGGCTGCACCACGGGGACTTTGTTGGACTGTGGAGAAAAATGCAAGAAGATTTACTTTTTTATTTTTTAAATGCTGTGAAAAGCCGATGCCTTTTGTGTTATTCCATCTGAAAAAGGGGCCCTGATCCCTCACACATGGTTCATAGAGTACAGGTGGTCTGCTCTGCAGCAGCACAGTGCCTTCTTGACTTTCATTGTATGGTCAAGAAGTTACTATAAACATATATTTTTAAAAAACATTTCTTGAATGTCTTCTCTCATTACTAGGCTGGGCACAGCAGCTCAAAACTTTGTTTAGCCTAGGTCAGCAGGTTTGAAAATCCCCACATCCCCCGAAGGAGAAAAAAAAAGAAAAAGAAACAAGTCAAAAGAGGTGCGCGAGCATGTCTGAGACAGAAAAGGGGAGAAAGATGCAAACAGAGGTGGAGCGAATAGAAGCGAGCAAGCGATAGAGCAAAGGGAAGGGAGAGAAAAGAGAGACTTGCAGGGTAGAGTCAGAGCAGAGGTCTTAGGCGGGAGATCAAAGGCAGTCATTAGCTGGTGAATAAGGGGAGTTCATTACAGACCAAGAGCCGGGGGAAGAAGAGATGAGGGATGGAGGAGGAGGAGAAAGGTGGGTGGGGTGCGGGTGGGGGTTCTGGCTATGGGGAGAGAGCGTGAGTGAGACAGATGTCTGCAGTGGTACTTAATGCAGGGGTAATCACGTCAACAGTGGCCTGGCCACAGACCCCTCATCCCAGGCTGAGTCAGAAAGACGGAGAGCAAGAGAAAGAGAGAGAGCTTCCTCTGGAAAACTAAAATAGATCGACAGGCCCGAAAAACCCCCAACCCCCAGCCAACAGTGCTTACATGCTTCAGCTGCACTGAACACATGGTAATGCTTAGCCATGCTAAATCTACTATTTACAGTCTGAGCCCAGAGCTGAGCTGAAGTCAAAATATCACCTCCACAGGATATATGGCTAATCGGGAGAGACGGCGGTGCACCGATGGGTGAGACGCCACTTACACCGAGCGGCTCCCAATGAGCTCTCCCGAGTTTTTAGGAAACTCTAATCGATTTTATTCCCAGAAACAGTCACAGGATTAGCAGCATTGTTAAAGATACCCATCTAAATTTAGGATAAGAATCGAATTATGACAGGATGATAATAATAAATGGACTGTTCTTTATTAGCCCTCGCTTTGTTGTCTAGTGACATGTGTGCCAAGGTGACATTCCTGCAGTGCTAAGTGGTGACTGGTGCCCCGCCTCACCCACTTACACACACACAGAAAAACTCCTCGGACACAGGGGTGGCTGGAATGTCTGAGTTTTTCTGAACCTCTCGCAGACTGGCACCAGCTTCAACTTAAGAACCCCCTCCGTCCTCCCTCGATCTCACCACCTTCTGGGAATGTCCTCAAAGAGCAGTACGTGTGGTATGTGTGTGCACGTGTCCAGCTGCATGAACCATCATTCTCATCAGGGTCCCAAATCATGCCGGGAATCTCATCTCCTCAGGCCAATTCAGTTCCCGGTTTGGAGATGGGGCTGTTACGGCACCATAAAGCACAGGTTACACTGCACATGTGGTAAAGTTTGTTCTCACACAAAAGAAGCCCTGCCTGAAAACTAAGCCAAGGATGTAGAGGTGTAATTTTCTCACACCAGCCCAGGTGTGTTGCATTCCCTGGTCAACAAAGAGTCAAAGGTTAGTGTCCAGCCTCATCCTTAAGAAGGTTAGGCCTATTAGCAAGGCTGCTAAGCCTAAAAAGAGGGGACTAACTAGGCCTACAGTGGCTGAGACATGCCTCCACCAGGGGCTAAATGACAGCATTCTCACACATATTATTTTACGCCTCTCCACTCCCATTTGTTACGGTGTGGGAATGAGATAAGAACCTGGAATGCTATCGTTAAAACCTGCTATGCTCCCCAATATCGAAAGAAAAGCCAGCTGGAAACAAAAAAAAAAGTTCTCATGTTTGTGTGTACACATAGAACTACAATAAAAAAAAAAAACCCATTTGAAACAATATTTTAAAGCAGGGCGACTAACTTCTTAGCACCTAAGAAAGCTTGAGTTTTACTGCCACAGTGGAGAAGCCCTCTTTTGTGCTCTTCCCAGTTACAGCTGTCAAATCCCATTTTTCTCAACTTCTTAATAAACTGCTTCCATTGTGGGGGAAAAAAAAAGATCCACCAGGGAAAAACCTGCAGGCCTATGTGACCAATAGCAAATTTATGCCCGTTTAGGGTGCACACTTTACGCAAATTGCATGGCCTAACTGTAATTTACTTTCGAAAAGGAAAGGAAATAAATTGTCCGTCAGGCTTTCAACAGCTTCATTATACTCTAGATATACATAAAATTTGATTGTGCAAACCGTATCAGGGTCAAGCCAAATCCTGGTTTAGATGGTTTTTTATTTGATTACATGCAAAGAGGTATTGCTGGGGCAACATTTTACCACCATAATTAAAAAAAAAAAAAAAAAAAAAAACATTAAAAACTGACACCATTAATAATTTCCTGAAAAAAGGAGCTGGAGACACCCAATTCCTGACAACAGCCATGAGGGTCATGCCATGTCCTAATCTGATTCCTTCTCATACCCTTCATGAAGCCCTACTGGCTGCAGCAGTAGCGACACTGTTGCAATGGAGGGCATCCATATTGGAGGTCCCTTTTATTGTACAGGAGAAATAATAGGCTTAAGATCTTTCTATTCATATTTTTCAGGCAGAGTGAAAGAAGAGAGGCGGCGAGGATTGAAAAGAAAAACGTTCCATTTGGAATTTCATATCCAGGCTTGGCCGGCCCTTTAAAAAAAAAAAAAAAAAAAACCCTTCAGATGTGGTTTTAAGAGAAATTCATTGTGCGGAACTGGAGCTGGCAGGAAGCCCTCCATGGAGGAGACACTCCAGTGTGTTTCAGCAAGGGGAGCCAGTGACTTGGCGTGCCGTCTGAAATTGGGGGTGGGGAAGAAAAATGGGACGTTTCACTTTTTTGTTTTTGTTGGGGTTGTTTTTTTGTCCCCCACCCTCCTGCCTTGATTTTTCTGACGACACGCCGACGTCTGTGATCTTGTATTCTGTCATATTCCACCAACATCGTGTCACGGTCGGTAAAACAAGAATTTGCACGTTTATACATGTGTCTACGTGGTGTACGGAACAGCCATCCCTGCATTGCCTTTTTAAAGCATCTCTCTCCCCTCACAGCACAGCTTTTGTACTCCACTCAATTATACCACTTCTGCAGAGTGGAGTGGAAAAAAGGGAAAGCGGGAATTTTATAATAATCACTTCCCACTTCTGTAATTTATATGCAATGAGGACTCTCTGCGCCCGCAGCTACAATCAAGTGTGTAGAAACCGTGTGAGGTGTTTCACAAACAGCTGGGGAGATGTCAGCTCAAACGGCGGCTATGGAGTCTCATGCTGCTAAGTCTATTCGCTGAGAAGCCCTCCTCACCACAAAACCCAACCTCACCTCGCAGGATTTTCTGCACTCTGGAGGGAAAGGGTTTGCAGGTGAGGGCCGAGGATGTGAATGAAACAAAGAGAAAATGCAACATGGGACTGGCCTGTAATTATAAGACCCATCAACAAAGATTTGCAGGAAAATCTTCACTTAAAGTTTTTAAAAGAAGAACATATGATTCTCAGCATAAGTGAATCACAGGTCCTCCACACCCTCCTTTGACTGTTTAAGTACATCTTTAGCTACTGTTTCCATTGATAATGGGCTCAAAGAAGAAGACGAGATTACAGACACAAAGGCTCTGTAAATGTCAGTAGTTGGGAGTATGAAGCGAGGGTGTGTCCACTACTGAAATCCTACAGAGTCGCCCTCATAACCAGGTGTTCACTCTCAGGTGTGTTTGTGCGCAAGCTGTGCAACCTTTACCCAACAAAAGTGAGCAAACATTCTCCTGTAGTAGCTTTACAGCATGGGAATGAAAAGGCACTGTACCTCCCCCTTGTACCAAAAAAAGGAAAGAAAAAAAAAATCAGCGGAGACCAACCTGAGGAAGCTTAAGTAAATAACCAATTACCATTCGCAGAGCAGGTTGAACCCCACCAGCTTTGAGAGGAGTGCTAAAAATGGGATGTTTTATTGGCAGGATGGCCCCTTGGCCAGGGGGCTTAATGTAACGAAACCCAATTAATGGAGAAGAAAGCCGGGCCGGCGGCAAGTGAAGGAGCGCCACGTGCCGAGGGTAATGAGACGAACAAGCGAAGCTAACCACAGGGACAGCAGCAGAGGAGGCTACGAATAATAAGAAAAGCATACCCCAGAGAGAAGTATACATCTGCGATGCCCTCCCAAATGTCTCCTTGCCCTCTCCTCATTATTCCAATCAAAAAATTCAGGTATTCTCTCTTAGCGCTCTTGAGGGTGCCTGTAGTTGAAGACATGCAGTGAGACTGAAGGCAGTAGCCAGTTACTAAAAATAAAGAGGTGGTATATATAGAGCAACCCAAACTTGCAGCTGAGTGGAGTTTAGTGCAAAAATAGCCACGCTCCATATGTTCAATTTCATGGCTTTAGTGGCCAAGCTTCAGCGTAAATGTATCAGGCAAGGAAACTTGTCATGCTGCCCTCTAAATACCGACACTGCACCCACAGACATGACAGCTATAGCTGATGTCAAACACTTTAAGTAACCCCACCTACACACGCACACGCGCACACACACACATGACGTGCTTTAAAATATTTCAAGCTACATGAAGGTTGTGTAAACCACACGTTTAATAACTTAAATACATAAACGCTGCACGTGAACACAAAAGAGCTGTTAACAGCCAAGTGTCTCTTTCCTCACCGCGTCAGAATAGGACGAGATGGATTACCCATCATCCCTCAGCTGGCATGAAGAGCGTGCGCTCCGAGCAAACCAATCGCGGCTGGCTCTCGTGCTGACATTCTCAACGAGCAAAGATGATAATTTGTGTGAAATGTGCCTGCCTCACATGAAAAGACTTTATCCGCTTTTTAAAGTGTTCAACTCTTAATTTCTATATGTCGCGGTAC